CCTATTCTTATATTTAGCCTGTCAATGGTTTTCCTTTATACATCTGAGTTTAAATAGCTTTGAGTCGTAATTAAGATTATCTAGAAAGAGATAAGGCATGAGGCAAACTCTGAGAAACCTCAGGTGGCCACATATTAAATTAATTCAAGATGTCGTGCGTGTCTGACGTTTGCTGTAGTGATTGCGTCGTTTGCAGTCTTGTTCACATTGACGTTGCGTTCGCGACAGGCACCATTTCTTTGTCTTTGCAAGAAAGAGAGTTGTGGTGAAAATGCACAGAGCATAATTAGAGGTGGTGTGAGTGCACTTCAATAGATGAACAAAAACCACATTTTGAAGCAGGAACTGAATCTACCTCTTCAGATGGTGATGACACGGAGCTCCAATTTTCAGAATAATTTTGTATTTCCCTATAGCTCCACCAGCACACGTACATGGAGTTCTCACAGTTACATATGTTGCAAACGATAACCTAAGGTCTACACATTGCCTTTTAGGTATTGGTAGTGTCAGACAAGCAGCACAAACTGAGATAGCCTTAATGCGGGCTTTATCTGTGTGTGGGGTTTGCTTCCTCAACAGTTAACAAGTACACAAGTGTTCAACCAGTTAGTTCTGCTTATAGACCCAATCTTGCAAGGGCCACTATCTGCGCAATAGAGGAAACGAATCGCACGGTGACCTTTGGTGCGACTCGTTAGATGCAAAGGATCCTTCCGGCGTTCAAAGTGTTGGGTTGAGCAAGGCCAGTTTGAAAAGAAGACTGAAAATCCAACAGTGCTAAACGTTGTTCAGTACGGTCCCCGGATGCAGGGAATGTCCAGCTGTACTATGACTGGAACTGTGTAACTTTATCATGGTAATGGAAAGTTTATCTCCCTGCTTTTAACCTGTTGTTTTATGAGACCAAGTCCCGCTTCAACAAAAGTTTATAACGTCCAAATCCAATAAGAGGAAGACTGTGAGAAGGACTTAACTGGAAGTGTAAAAAAAATACTTTGGTCAGTAAATAACAACAACATTGAGGGGTTTTCCTCTCCTATATGTAGTAGAAAAACCTCAACCAAAACCATGACTTGAAACTTCTTACATAAGAAGCATTAGTAGCACTTCATTATCAGGGTGTATTTAGTTGCCTAAAAATATTTTCACAGATACCAAATACGCAGAAACTTGCTTTCTGTTTCCAATAAAAGTCACTCCAAGGTACTGTACACCATCTTTCTAGTCAACATTATTTCTTAAACCAAGATGAGGCCAAAATAGAAATGTTGCTTCTTAAGGTCTTAAAAAAAAAGCCCAAACCATTACCGCATCATATCAACATCACACTTGAGAATTGGTGTGAGCTATTTGTACAGGTATACTATGTTTAGCTTTTGTCAAACATCCCACAATGCATTGTGGGATGACAAACATCTCAGCTTTGCTCTTCAATTTCACCAGAAGGCCTTGATCCAGAAGTCCTGCAGTTTGTCCAGATTAAGCTTTGTAGACCTTAATGGAGAAAACAAAACTCTTCTTGGACTACTGGTTCTTATGCATTGCATCAATAACAACATTCACATCTAGCAATATAAAATGGCTTTCATCATTTTAATGTTGCATAGGAAATACTTAACTTTTTTTTTTACTTTATGTTAGATTCATTTGGCATTGAAAAATATAGATTTTTGAGGGGATATTGCCAATCCTTGATTATAGGTTTTAGATAATAGAGAGGTAAACAACCAAACCTGGAACTAATAACCAGCTTTTTCGAAGCTGATTATTAATAAAAGCTGCTCTCATGGCAATAATGCTGCATTAAAATGGTGATCAGTCAGTGTGCGTTGAAGATTTGAGAACAAGTTTGTTCTCTTAAGATAGCATTAGCCTTTAGCTTTCTCATAAAGTCGTTATTCATTGGCAATCTTTCAGGCAATAGAAGGTAGCTGTCCTTTTTTTTTATTAAATGTATTTTATTTGTTTTAATCAGAAGTGATTGTTTAATCCCACATATTACTGTTTTGGTAATTGAAGTGATTGGTAATTGTTTCCATCCCACTCTCTGGCTGACTTGGTCACTTTAACCCATTTTTCTGGGGTTAGAAACCAAACTCATTGTTCTGGGTCAAAGCCGTAACCAAACCCTGTTTTTAAACTCAACCTAGGAGGCCGGATTTGGGTCAAAGTTCCACCCAACACGCGTAACGTTTTTTTAAACCAGCAAGTCATACTCCGAAAACGTTCTGATGAGAAAAAATGTTCAGCCCAGTGTTTGATGTGTTCGGACTGCTCACCACTTAATCAATCCCAAAACACTTAATCCAACTATAACTCTTTTCAACCCGGAAACTTATCTCAGGGGTCGACAGCGTCGCTTCCTCTCAAGCCCAAACTGGGAGCTTGTTTCACAATACACCTACGGCATTCATAGTCAGTGTCACTTATTAAACATCCAGGTTCAGAAAAACAGAGTGCACTGTGTAAGATTATAAATACCGACCTGAATCAGAGTTAATGCTTTCTGCTATGTACCTGTGCATGGAGGGCAGAAAACTTTAGCACATTATCTTTATATTTGGTCTTGAAACCTTCTTGGCTGGACAAATAAAGGCTCCCGTCTGCTCTGCTCTTGTGACATGTACTTGTGACCGACCTAGCTTGTGGCATGCACACACAGTTTATTTTCCATGTTGAGCAGTTGTCACATCAGTATCAATAACTGTTGGGAGGATGTGGTCTAGTTCCTGTGTGGTTGTTGATATGAACTGTTTAGATCAGGTCTTCGTATCTCACTAAAACATGTAGAGCTCACTAGGCTGCTTGCACTGCTGAGCTAGCTTAGCTCTTAGCATTTTATTTATTTATTTATTTATTTATTTACAAAGTGGGAAAGATCAGTGCTCACACCAGTTGGGAACTAATAGTCTCTTATGTTTGTTGTCACCATGAAAATATAACATGCTTTGGAATAACTTTCTCTCCTGCTTTCAAAACGTTAAGACTGTTCAGTACTAGCAAATAGCTGACTTATCTCCAAACTATCGATTCTGTCTAAGGTCCTAAAGGAGTCCACCTCAGAACAGAAACCGCACTCTTCAGGGTTTTTACTGACCTTCGTTTGTTTTCTGATTTGGGGAAATCTGCTGCTTTCCTCTTCGTACGCTCGAGTGCTGCTTTTGATCCGTAGATAATAACATCCTCTTATCTAGTCTCTGACGTTATCTAGATATTAAAGAAACTTGCTTTGCAGCTGTTTAAATCCTATTTGACAAATAGAACTGTCTCGGTTAAAATAAACCCGTATTCCCTTGTCGTGGGGTTCCGCAGGGCTCCATTCTGGCCCCTCTTTTGTTCTCAAGGTATATTTGGCGTTAGGATTTGTCCTTCAAAAGTATAACATCTGGTTCCACTGTGGTTCAGCTTTATTTTCCTTTAAAAGTTAAAACGAGTTATTCATCAAGGCCTTATTGGACTGTTTGGATGACATATGTTCAAGTTTTCTCCATTTAAACTAATCAAACAGAAGTCACCCTATTCAACATATCCTGTTAGCTCTCTGGGTCCTTCAGCACAATTCAGTGTTCTGTTAGAAGTCTTAGAGTGATTTTTGACTCCTCCCTCAGATTCGATAAACACATCAATTGAGTGATTCAATCAAGTTTCCTACAGCTACATTTGTTTGTCTGCTTCCATAAGGACTTTAAAAGAAACAACTAATTCCTGCCTTTATCAAGATTAACTTATATTCTTTAAGGATTTAGATCAGTCTTCCTTTCATTGCTAGCAGGCCGTACAAACTGCTGCTGTGTGCGGGGTGCTGTGGTTATGCAGAGGTTAAGCACCACCCACATAAGCAGGCCATAGTCCTCAATGCAGCCCTCGCAGGTTCGATTCCAGGTCAAGTGAACTTTGCTGTACATCTTCCCTCTCACTCTTTACCTAATTTCCTGTCTTAGCACTTTCAAATAAAGACCACTAGAGCCAAAGAAAAATGCTGCTTTTATGTCAGCACATATCATCAATGCTGGCTTTGCTTAAAAATCCGATACAGGATTGATTTCAAAAGCCTGAAATTAATGTTTAGACTCTTCGTGGTCATGAAACAGGTTAAGGAGTCTGAAAAAGACGCAACAAATGAACGCCCCTTTCTAAAGCTTCTGGACGCTACTAAACCACAATGAGGAACCATTAGCCACAAACAGGAAATACCTGGAAGGAACTTTCTCGGGAGGGGCTGTCAATCACTCCAAGAGTGCAAAGAAGACTCACGCAAGAGGTCGCAAAATAATTCAGAAAAAAAAAAAAAAAAAAACATCTGAAGCCCTGCAGACCTCAGATAAGCTCAGTGATCATGATTCAGCAGTAGGATAGAAACTGGGTCAGAACTCAGATCTTTATCTGAGTTACAAAGGTTGAAACTCATCGTTCACCCAAACAGGACCAGAAGCCCATTAGTCCAAAAATCATCTTGTGAACTGATGGGACAAAAGTGGAACTTTTTACAAGCTGTGTGTAATATTATATCTGCTGTAAAAAAAAAAAAAAAACAGGAAGGAGAATGTCCGCCCATCAGTTTGTGACCTTTGGGTCTGCATAACCTATGCAGGTCGACCAGCAAGTCTACCTTCAAATAATAATTAAAACAAAATGAAGGTCTGGGAGGTGATGGGATCTGATTGAAATGTTTCCTCCAGAGCGATGTCAACGGCTCATTAGCATTTACTGAAGTGGATGGTTGATTTTGTTTGTCGTTTTTCTTCCTTTGTCGTTTTTCTTCCTCAGTAGACGAACTGACCGTGGTTATTAAATTCAAAATTTGCATGGTGATATAGTGAACAAAATAATAAACACAAAAACTGTATTGAAAGAAACTATCTTTTTTAACCTTAAAGTGTTTGCAGATATTTCTCTGTATACTCAACCTGCTTCATGCTCTACATTCACAGAAGCTTCCTCCCTGCCTCCCTCCCTCAGTTTTTTTTTTTTTTCTAACTTTGCTGACTGCAGCGAGCAGAAGAGGAAACAGACACTGCTCCGCTCCCCACAGAGATGGCTGGTGGTCGCTTTCGCTGCCTGAGCTGCCTTCTCGCGTACACGGCCGCGCTGCTTCTCGGGGTCTCCCGCCACGGTACGTGACCTGGTCTGCCCCTCATGTTTACTGCCATGGATGGTGATCGACCTCCCGGTTTTCTGTAGTTGTGACTTTGACAAAGAATTACAATTCGGTTCCTTAGAACGGGATATTTGCATACCTCCTTGGAAAGGGAGGTGTTGTTTCTTCAATGGTTTTTTTATTCTTTCCTCGTAGTGCTTTGTTTTTCGTAATTGATTTTTAAATACAATATAAGATGTTATCATTAAGAAGGTTTTCCTAAAATATTAACTCCTGTCTACTTTTGAAACTGAAGTTGCATAATAATTTGGGATTTGGAACATCCCAATGAAAATTAGTGTTCTCACTAAGATCTGTGACAATCTGAATTTATCCTCCTTGTCTGAGACGGCAGCTATAACCTTTGGGCATCTTGTGGTTGAATATTAAGAGTCAAGTTTTGCATGTTTCTGTGTTGCTGTGTTGGCAGATTTCCTGCTACATATGCATGGAAACTTTTGCAACTTGGAGATAGATCATCTTTTCTCTTTTTGTCACTTCCGGCTTTCTTCTTCAAATTGTAGGTCACAATGAAATACCGTTCACTTCTTCAATCTTGCGTGCTTGCTCTGTCAGGCCACATTTCAGAACTCTACCTGCTATTTGTTGCGCTTCAGTTGTCGGCTGTTTTCTTTTTTGTGTGTGTCTAAATAAAACTGTGAGACAGAAACAAGAGCAAAAGCAACGGTGGCATTTCCTGTGTGTTCTCCACCAAAAGCACTGACGCTGACCGAAAATGAGACGGATACAGACTTTTATTTTAACTTTTCCACCGAGGGCACAGATTGTGGTTTGTCTCGGTTTTCCAGGGAAATGATGCAAAGTCAGCCGTTACATGAACATGCAAATGAATTTATTCAAAAAGTGGAAGCTAATGATCAAGCTTTCACGCATCCATTTTTCTTTTGTCTTCATTGAAAACTTTCCGTAGTTGACAAAAAAAAGTGAGAATGGAGCTCCAAGTAAAAAAAAAAAAAAATGTTACAGGCAACTGAATGAAGCGTCAGGCTAAATTTATTTACGTTTATTTAACTTGACAATTTAATAAATGAACTTGGATAGACTTAATTTGGCTATTTGGGACTAATTAATGCAATATATTTAAGTTGGAGTAAGTGCTCTCGTTTTTCAGTGAAAGTTAGTTTGATTGTTCTGTTTCAGTTCAAAACAACTTAAATTCATTGAACACTTTGAGTGATATATTTAATGCTGCTAAGTGTAATTATTAGGACAATTAGGAAAATCCACTTTCAAATTTCACTTTCAGTACAAGTGTTAGTATTACACAGAGCGATAAAAGAAGAAATGGTCAAGACAGTCATGGGTACGACTGCTGATCTGACAGTTTTCAGGATACAGTCTTTGTCGCCCTGCCTCCTCTACACGGCCCCAGCCACAGTTCTTATTTAAGTTTGATTGTCTTTGAATGTAGCTAAAGATTAGGGTGACGGCGAAGAATTTTTCCATCCTCAAAGAGTTGGAGCTCATTGCCAAAGATGAAAAACAACTGGTTAGCAGCAGCTATGAGAAGCTCTTCATGGTTGTAATAGTAATAAAGATTTTTCCACTGACTACAAAGAGAGGTTCCATCCTCCTGCAACCAAAACATGGTTCTCAAACTGAGGTTGAGGCATCACAGATGGTACTTGGCGAATCTTTAGTGGTACTCAGAAGAAACATTAGCATTGATCCTTGTCAGGTTATTGCATCAACAGCGCTGTAGGGGCCCCTAAGCACCGGAAGCCCAGTAGACGGCTTGTTCAAGCAAACACAGATTTTAAAGATCTTTGAGAACTTTAAGATCTTTTGAGGTCTCCATGTATAACATAAAGCAGGCAACGATGAACCAGAAACAAACGCTGGGCGTTGCTAACAATGTGTGATTTACGTCTGAGGTCAGACTTCGAGATTTCAAGTCCAACTTAAGTGTATAAGAGTACAAAAACCAGATGGATTAGCTGATTAATATGCTAAATCACAAAGTATTGCTAACTGCTGTTAGCAATAAAATATATATAACATGTAATTCACTTGTATTTGCATGTTCTCAAGCACTTAACTTATATGATCACTAAGGAATGTTGAACTGAAATGCAAAGAGAGCAAATAAACAGTTTATTTCTGACTTACAGAAATTTACATGAACGGTAGATATATTGCGTGTTGGGAATGTCATAAAAAATCTACAACTTTCCAACCTCAGCAAAGCAATTCAAGTGATTGCATCTTTTAATATTTCTTTCTTACTTGAAGCTTTTAAATCTAAGATTCTGAGTAAAAATTAACTTCCCGCCAAAGAAGCCGTTCTGATGGATAGTAATATTGTCTTTTTTTATTGTTTTCTCTTTACTTTTTTTAAGACATTAACTTGTCAAGTGAAATCTTATCTACAGTTTTAAAATGCCCATCAGCGTGGGGGCGGCTTGACTTATTCTGTACCTGATGATACGTGTTATAAGAAGTTTGATCACTTCATTAAAACATTTTCCTGTTTGTCCAACAACAGGAACTCACCAGTAAAGCTGTGTAGCTGCTGCTGTTATGTGATAAAAACACCTCGGAGTGTTTTCAAGTGTTTGATTACACTTCCTTCTTGTAGCTGCAGAGGTTTTTGCAAACAGTTAAAAATAAAAAACCTCAGCTAGTTCTTAAAACCGATATAAACCATAGTTAAAAGATTTCTTCTGGTAAAACTTTATCATTTTTATTTTTTCTAAATAAACATTCATGTGATGTAGTGTCATACCTGCAGTTCAGAGCTCAGCCCTGTTTCTAGTTGTAGCAGCAGAAATTCACAGAACAGACAGATACAAATTTGATCCTATTAAATGGAGAAGTACTTTGTTCTGTGTGCATACTGATGAGACACATGACCTGCTGAACAAAAACTAGACTAGAATTCCCTTTATATTATTACAGAAGTGTCTAATAAAATAATTATGTTCTTGTTTAAAGGAGCAGTCTTCTGGACAGTAAACATTTTTGAACTTTACATCATGTTAGAATGTTACTCCCTCATCAAAAACAGACCCGGAGAGTGTTACTTTGATTTTTTCATGCATGTTTGAGAAATCCTATAATCTCCCGTGGCAACCGTTCAGCTGTGCAAAACGACTGGGTGGACCTAGCTCCGCCTTCGAGGACAAAGCTCCTCCTTGAAGCTGCGTTTTCCAAGCTTCCGTCTCACAGAGCAGCCCTCCTCCACGAACCGACTCAGCTCCTACAGACTAGCCAGCAGCAATTAGCAAACACCTGGTTGTACTGCACATCAGCTGAGCTCGTCACACAAGCCATTTCTATTGCAATGCCGGTAAAAAAAAAGTTGTTAGCATTTATAGAGGGTTGATTTGTTTTATGACAATTTCCTGAAGGCAGAGTTTCAGAAAGAGCAGGAGTTTCTTAAAGAGACAGAGGCCCAATTTCACAGTGTTAAATTAGGAAGTTAAATTTCTTTTAAGCCATATTTGATATTTTATAACAACTGCAGGTAACAGTTACTAATCGTACCATTAAATTGCACAGTGGCTGAAAAACACATAACACTACCCCTTTAAATTTAAATGTACATTAAATGTCAAGACATGTTACTTTACATCATTTTCTGAAAGCTTGAACAGACAGAATACCGACTCTTTGGAGATAATACGTTACTGAGTGAATGCTGTTTGTTTGCTCACCTGAACAACCTGCAGATACAGAAATCAGTAAAATCAGCTTTATTTCTCTTCATCTTCTTTATATTGGTTAATTTATTTAGTGTAGTGAAAATAAGTAAACAGACTGTTCATTATTAATGTGATTCAGAGACTACGTTTTGTTTTTAGTTGAGCTTCATCATTAATAATGGTGGGAACCAATGTTAGTGGGATGAACTAATGTTGCTTTGGCTGATTTTTAGAAATCCTATAACTAAACTTAAAACATTTCTTCATAAGAACTTGTGCAACGGTGCATGCAATATACTACATGTTTTATAGCTCTGTTGTGAAGAGGATGAAAAGGGTTTTCCATGATGTTCTTTGATTATATAGAAATATATGTATTTGCACCGTCTTCAGAGCAGCCTGTAGAACAGAGCCAGCCTTCTTTATCATTTTCTTGAGCCTTTTTAAGCCACTGACTGATGGCGTTACCCCAACAGGTGATGGGAGAACAGAGCATACTCTCTACAATAGATCTATAGTAGATCTACAGCACATTGAAAGACTGAAGGAACTAGGTTTCTAGAACAACCGTCCCTTCTTGTATAAAGCTTTACTATCTGATGTTCAGAGCAGTCTGTTGTCTAGGAAAACATTGAGATATTTAAAAAAACATCTTCTCTTATGATGGGAATAATGTTTGAAGTATTCCTGTGTCTTTTTAAATCTGCAATCATCTTTGTTTTGTTCCAACACACAGTGGACTGGTGAACTAAATTTAAGTAATTTACTCGTTCTTCAGTTCTCCAGATTTTAAACCCTGATCAACTTTTGCTCCATGTTATGAGAGAAACTTTGTTCATCAGCAAATTGCTCCTCAGTCAATTACCAACATTGCACTTGGATGGTGTTTTAGTGTCAATCTGTATTTGTGGCAATGTTTTCAGAAGTGAGTTCACTCTTCAACAAGAGGGGACTCACTAAAACTAATAGTTTTCTACAGCGCTGTATACAATGTGCCCTTCTTGGCACCCGACCAGAGTTCAAACATCCACCTCTCTGTTCTAACACAAAGGCGGATGACTGTTATGAAATACGATATATTACAACCCCTGTTCAAACCAACATAAATATGACTATGTTCTGGAGATGCATACAAACAATTCAAGTCAGTCAATCACAATTTTGCACCGTTTGTTTGTAAACCCCCAAGGAAATTATTATTTTTTGTATCATAAAAAGTTAGTTTTTAGTTTTTATGATACAGTCAAACATGTTTGACTCTCTTTTTTCCCCCCCTTTTGCAGAATCCAGACTGATCACATAAATATGAACAGGGCACAAACACAATTGGACATGCTGGGAGCCAATTGACAGAAGACAAAAGATCAGTTATATGATCATGAAAAAAGATTACATGTGACATAATACAAACTAACAAATAATCACACATTAATTAAAAAATTACACAAAAGAAAGGCGACAAAATCATAATAAATAACAAAGAGCCTTAAACGAATCATTTAAAATTTTAATCATAAAGTTTTAAAAGCCTTTGACGTTATTAACTATCAGTTATTAACGTAGTTTAGCTTTGCTTAATTTACAAAACTGTAATTTCTGGATATATTTTTTTTTACCAATTAGAATTAAGTTATTTAACATAAACTCCAAATTTTGAATAAAATCCTAACTTCATGTTGTGGTCCGTTGACATAAAAGCCAACATTTAAATTCCATTAAAAAAAAAAAAAAACTAAGCACTTCATATAAAAGTGTTCTAAGCTCGGTGAGATAGAAATCAGAGAATACCTTCAGAGAATTACCGCCACCTGCTGTTGCATTCATGTGTCACATGAATTCAGTTGGTTTTAGGTGATGTGACCAAATCCTGTACCCTGTGGTTCCTCAACAAATGTAATTGTTAAGAGTTCGAGCTCTGATAGCAAATTATGATACATCTTGTAATGGCTGGGAAACTGCTTACGGACATTTTAAAAAAGTGTAAACATTAAATTGTATGTAACAGAACATCTAAATGTTTCACTTAGATGAATTATTAACATTATGCTCTTTGTTTTTTGTTTCAGATGTGGAGGCTTCAGAAGGAAAACAAGTCATTCATAAAAGAGTTGGAGACTCTGTGGAGCTTTTATCAAATTTACCAGCTGAAGGCGTCACCAGCGTAGAATGGAGATATAAAAACACAAGAGTAGCAATCAAAGGTTCAGGTGTTATTAGAAACAATCCATTTAAGGACAGAGCGAAGTTCAATAACATAACCTTTAGTTTAACAATAAGAGACCTGACTCTTCAAGATTCTGGTGAATTTAATTTAATCACAGAGGTCAAAGACCATCCAGGTTCAGTCTTCATCACTCTGCAAGTTCACGGTAAGATACTTTTCTTTTCAATCCAATCAATCAAAAATAATCTTTTCAAGAAAGAAAACTTGTGTAGAATTCTTAAAGAACGGATTGATTAATACACTGTTTTCAAAATGAAGAACACAATACTTGTTAGAAAATATATCAATGTAAAAAAAACCCCCAGCTTATCTGAATTTTTATATCATGTTTATGGGGGTCACTGTCCTGCTGCAGAATCTAAATGTGCTTGAGCTTTAAGACCAAACAGTGATCACAGGAGATTCTCCCAGGATTTACTGATAGAAAGCAAATTTTATGGTTGCATCAAATAAAAGGAATTCATCATTTGATGACATCTTTCTGAATTTTCTAAGATTAAAGGAGCAAATACTGTGTGAATTCTGCAAATAAAATGCATATATAATGTTACTGACTGTTACACTTCTTCCCTCTGTTTTCACATTAGAGCCAATATCCACAAATCCCAATGTGTTTTCAAACATCACTCAGCCTGGACCAAATGGATTTTGTACAGTTTTTCTGGAGTGCAAAGCAAATCCTCACAGCAACGTCACTTACATCTGGACTGTGAGAAACCAAAGTAGTAACGGCCCCAGGCTGCAATACAACATTACACCACAAGATGGCGACACCACATTCACCTGCAATGCCTCTAATGTTGTCAGTGAGAAGTTAGCATCTGAAACACTGAGATGTAGCAACACCACAGGACCCACAGCCTCTAATGAAGGTATGTTCAGAAAGGAGAGGTTTGAAGACAACAAGAACAAGTCGGTTTATTTTGTAAATCTGTTGGATGTATAGTTCTATAAAAGGTCCAAGTCCACAAAACACAGAAAATCTCAGATCCAGAGACTAGAAATTAATTTTCTTGCAGTTCCTAAGAAACTTTTCTGAATCATAAAGTAATGATGATTTTCAATATTTGGTAATAATACAGACAAAAATCATAGAAGAGTTAGAAATATACTTTATGGTTTATCCAACATGCTGTAGATGATGAACGTCATCACATATAAATAATTTAATTATTTTAACAGTCAGAATGCACTATACATCCACTACAAATAAACGATCATATGTAATTTGCTGAAACAAAATTAGGTAACACTTTATTTGAAGGGGTTTGAATAATACTGACATGACACTGTCATGAACATGACATAACACCTGTCATGAACATGAATAAGCCTTCATGGATATTTATGACTGTTGTCATAAAGCATCATTCGGTAAATTATGACACTTTTAATACAAAGTTGACATTATTCAAAATGTCTTTGTTATGACAACTTGACATTAACCAGGAAATCATTACTGTTTAAACTTTACCTTTAATAACATAAAGTTACCTAATTTTTAAAGTGCAATCAGTAATACTTTTATAACAAATTTATATCAGTAATGATTTCTTGGTTAATGTCAAGTTGTCATAATAAAGACATTTTGAATAATGTCAACTTTGTATTAAAAGTGTCATAATTTACCGAATGACGCTTTATGATAACAGTCATAAATATTCATGAAGGCTTATTGATGTTCATGACAGGTGTTTATGACAGTGTCATGTCAGTCTTATTCAACCCCCTTCAAATAAAGTGTTACCAAATCATATCTTGATAACACACGTATTTTTTTTAAACTACCTTCTTGACTAAAGTTTTACATCCCCGTTTCTTCTGTTATGTTAAAGTGTTTTTGTTTATTATTTATTTGACTGACGTCATAGCTAGTTAAAACTATTTTTAAAAAGCAGCACATTCATACTAAAAATGCATTGCTTTTAAAACATATCGAAACCTTTTGAATTTTTTTTAGTTTGTCACTTTATAGCTACAAATTTTACTGCATCTTAATCATAATTTTATATAATTGACCAAACACATCACACTGCATAAAAATGGTAAGATAAATAACGGGATTTATTGTTTAAAATAGTTTTGGACAAATTATTTTCCTGCTTGTTTTTATTTGCTTCTTTTTAAACATGACATATTGTTAATCTGCTGTCAATTGTAGGAATCCCAATCCTAGTCTGGATTATCGTTGCAGCAGTTGGAGGTTTACTGATCATTATTATAATCATAGTGGTGAGCGGATGTCTCTGCAAAAGAAGATGGTCTGGTAAGAAACTCTTTAATGTGCCATTTTTTTTCTCTCTCTTACTTTGTTATTGTGGCTTTTTACCAGCCACAGTCATTTCTGTAATTTTGTTTTCTTTACACAGGCAGTGATTCAAACGAACTCACAGTTTATGCCGATATCTCAGATTTTTCATCTGAAGTTGTAAGTACACACAAGAGCAAATGAGCAAATGTTTACAGTGATTTATTGTTTCCTAACTGAGGATTTATTTCTCCTTAATACATGCGAATGCAAACCTGCAGGGTCCCTCTGATAAGCCCTGCTCTCTGTACGACACTATTGACGCCAGAA